AAAATACAAAAATTAGCTGGGTGTGGGGGCGGGCACTTGTAATCCCAGTTACTTGGGAGGCTGAGGTAGGAGAATTGCTTGAACCCGGAAGGCAGGGGTTGCAGTGAGACAAGATTGCACCACTGCACTCCAGCCTGGGTGACAGAACGAGACTCCATCTAAAAAAACAAACAAACAATGTGTATGTGCGTCCATGTATGTGAGTGTGTGTGTGTGTGTGTGTATGTGTGTGTGATTGCACAAAAAAGTTCTTAAAGGTTACATATGGAACTGATGGCAGAAGTTACTATGGAGAAAGTAGAGGTCTGGAGAACTGGTCAGGGCTCCTTTAAGCACTGGCTGTAAGGTCTGAATTTTCATAATGATAATATATTCACTTATCACTTACATAATTAGATATTCAAACTTTTTAAAAAGCCTAGTTAATACACACATTATTTTTTCTTTTAGGGAGAGGGTCTTGCTCTATCACCCAGGCTGGAGTGCAGTGGTACGACTGTGGCTCACTGCAACCTCCAACTCCCCGGCTCAAGGGATCCTCCCACCTCAGCTTCCCAAATAGCTGGAGGCACAGTTGTGCACCACCACGCCCAGCTAATTTATTTTTGTTTTTATTGTAGAGATGGGGTCTCACTACGTTGCCCAGGCTGGTCTCAAACTCCTGGGCTCAAGCGATCCTCCTGCCTCAGCCTCCCAAAGTGCTGGGATTATAAACGTGAGCCACTCCACCAGGCCTACCACTTTCTCATTTCTGATATTTGCCTCTAAGCAAACACATCAAGCACTCAGTAAGCCTCTAAAGGTTTCTTAAAAACCCTCCATCTCCCACTGCCCACCGTCTCAGCAGCTCCTGGGGCGACACGTCTGCCATTTCCTCATCACTCTGGCTGTCACTGCTGTCGGAACTCTCGGAGCTACTACTTTTTTCTGGTTTTTTATTCTTTTGCTTGCCTTTGTGTTTGTGCTTCCTGTGTTTCTTCTTCTGTAAAAAAAAAATAAATAGTGGCAGGGGGAAACAAAGGTATTTTTTCTTCCTTCATTCAATACAACGAAAGGTTAACAAGGCTGCAGTGATGGAGTCATTAAAAAAAAAGTTTAAACCTCATTAGAGCGAGTGAGAGGGACAGCCTAAGAAGACAGCACAGGGCAGACGGTTGTGCCCCTCTCAACTGTGCAACCTGACCCAGCTGCGCCTCCAGCAACAAACACAGCAGAACTAAGGAGGCGCAGACAGGACCCATCGTAACACTTGATGTCATAAGACGTAACACCACACGTCTTATGCGTGGTGACCTGTGCCGCCTCCAGTGAACCCGACTTGTTTATTGTGTCAGGCCCCTGGGAAACTTCATGTCAGGATGATGGGCACCCAGGAAAACCACAAGGAAGAAACTGGCAGAAGGTTACCAAACAGCAGATACACTGGTAAGGACACACAGATTTGGCTGTCGCACATTTTCTTCCTTTCACTAGGAGGGAACACCCGTCATCCTCTATACATGGGAGTGCTTCCTTCTGGTGGCCAGCAAGAAAACTGTTTCTAATTTCTTCAACTGCTAGTCCAGACTACTTTGGGTACCCGACAAGAACATTAACCTAATTAAAGTCTGTGCTGTAACCCAAAAGAAGCCATGGATGATGACATAAGAGACGTCAACAGTGGAAGCACGTGCCTGCCTTCCATTTGAATTCTTCTACTTCAAATGACAAGTGATGGACTAAAATCTCAAACTGTAATAAAGACAAAGTAGCTGAGAAATGCTGAAAATAATACCTTCACTTAATATTGAATAAATCAGAAATTGTTTTATTATTTAATATCCATTGCTCTAAGATCCTTAAATGCCCTTTTTTTCTTTTTAATGTTCACAAAAAACTTTTTTTAAGGGCTGGGCATAGTGCCTCATGCCTGTAATCCCAGCACTTTAGGAGGTAGATCACTTGAGGTCAGGAGGTCAAAACCAGCTTGGCCAACATGGTGAAACCCCGTCTCTACTAAAAATACAAAAAATTAGGCGGGTGGCACACACCTGTGGTCCCAGCTACTTGGGAGGCTGAAGCAGGAGAATTGCTTGAACCCAGGAGATAGAGGTTGCAGTGAGCCGAGACTGAGTCACTGCACTCCACCCTGGACAACAGAGTGAGACTCCATCTCAAAGAAAAAGGGGGAGGATGATGCGGTTTACATGCAAAAGAAAATGTTTCTGAAAAATCAAGGGTTTGCATTGAATGTCGACATTTCTGTTAAGTCTCAGAAAGAACTGTGACTTGGCCACCAGATCCGCTCTTCAACTGCGGTATATGACACTCCTGGGGGCTGACCAACGGGTGCCACCCCACACTGATCCTGGGGTACACACAAGTCTCTCACCTTCTCTTTCTTCCGCCTGTGCTCTTTCTTGGCCTTGTGCTTGTCTTTGTTCTTTTTATGTTTCTCTTTTTGAGGAACCTCAAGTGTCTGACGAGCATCTGAAACACAAAGGTAATAAACACAGGACCTATAGAGGGTGAAAACAAAGACATCCAAAAGTAAGCTCCTAAATTGCTGAATCAGGCATCTAGTGTAGATGGAACGTTGAACACTGAGGAAGAACTCCTGCCCTCGGATTAGCTTCTGCCTCACTGAGAAACAGATTAGCACACCACCTTGCAGAGCTGTATTTAGAAAGCTGCCAGAGACCTCAACAAAGACCTGTGTGATCCAATCAGTATCCTGCTGTGACCCCAGCTGCCAGATGCAGATAAAGTCAGACCAGAAAGCCCACAAGCCTTTTGTAATTCAACATTGTCAGATAACCTCAGAAACAGACCAGAATTGGAACTCAGCTCTGCTGCCAGCACTGTGATCTTCAACACATCGCCTAACCTCTCCCAGGCCCAGTCTCCCCAACTATAAAATGGGGACCATAAGAATCCTGATCCTTTTAGGGACACAGATTAGACTAGACAGGGCCATGTCCGTGATTCCCAAAGCTCAGAATCTGGCACCTAAATGTTAGCTCTTCTTATATCATCCTCTGTCTACAAAAACATATTTTGTAAGAATTTGTCTTATAAGTGGAAACACTGAAAAAACTACTATCAAAACAACATAATGGGCTGGGAGCAGTGGCTCGTGCCTGTAATCCCAACACTTTGGGAAGCCCAGGCAGGAGGATCCTTGACCTCAGGAGTTCAAGGCCAGCCTGGGCAACATAGTGAGACCCTATCTCTACCTAATTAAAAAAAAATAATAATGTATATAATCATTAAAAATCATTAAAGAATTTGCATGTGCCTCAATTCTCCATCTCCAAATTCAGACCAAAATGTTTTCATTTTCATAGGTCATTAATTTCCGGGTGACCAAATCAACAAAAATTCACAATAGTAGAAGCAGTGAAAGTCATTAAATCAGTTTTTTTCACCTAAAGAAAAGTTTCAGCCAGGAACGGTGGCTCACGCCTGTAACCCCAGCACTTTGGGAGACCGAGGTAAGTGGATCACTCGAGGTCAGGAATTCAAAATCAGCTTGGCCAACATGGTGAAACCCCGTCTCTACTAAAAATACAAAAATTAGCCGGGCGTGGTGGCATGCATCTGTAACCCCCACTACTCGGGAGGCTGAGGCAGGAGAATCACTTGAACCCGGGAGGCAGAGGTTGTAGTGAGCCGAGATTGTGCCACACTCCAGCCTGGGTGACAGAGCAAGACTCCATCTCAAAAAATAAATAAATAAATAAAAAGAAAAATAAAAGTTTCAAGATGTTTCGTAAGGGTGAATATTTTCTCAACTCAGTTAAACAGATGCCTGTAACTTTGTAGTCCTGTTTCTTTGTGGGTTTTTTGGTGGTGTTTTTTTTTTTTTTTAAGACAGGTTCTCGCTCTGCCACCCAGACTGGTGGGCAATGGTGCAATCACAGCTCATGACAGCCTTGACCTGGGTTCACATGATCCTCCTACCTCAGCTTCCTGAGTAGCTGGGACTACAGGCATGTACCACCATACCCGGCTAATTTTTTTTTATTTTTTTGTGGAAATGAGGGTCTCCCTATGTTGCCCAGGCTGGTATCAAACTTTTGAACTCAAGGGATCCTCCGATCTTAGCCTCCCAAAGTGCTGGGATTACAAGTGTGAGCTACCATGCCCAACTAGATTTTTCAAAATTCGACCTCCCAAAACTTTTAATTTTTCCAAAATTCTTTTAATTTTTTTCTTTTTTTTTTTTTTTTTTGAGATAGAGTTTCACTCTTGTTGCCCAGGCTGGAGTGCAATGGTGTAATCTTGGCTCACCCCAACCTCCGTCTCTCAGGTTCAAGCGATTCTCCTGCCTCAGCCTCCTAAGTAGCTGGGATTACAGCCATGTGTCACTATGCCTGGCTAATTTTGTATTTTTAGTACAGATAGGGTTTCTCCATGTTGGTCAGGCTGGTCCCAAACTCCCAACCTCAGGTGATCCGCCCACCTTGGCCCCCACAAAGTGCTGGGATTACAGGTGTGAGCCACCTCACCCAGCCTTTTATTTATTTATTTGAGACAGCATCTCACTCTGTTACCCAGGCTGCAGTGCAGCAGTGGGATCATAGCTCACTGCAGCCTCAACCTCCTGGGCTCAAGCAATCCTCCCACTTCAGCCTCCTGAGTAGCTGGGACCACAGGCACGCACCACCACACCAGGCCAATTTTTTTCTTTTTTATTTTTTTAAGAGATGCAATCTCTCTATGTTGCCCAGGCTGGCCTCAAACTCCTGGACTCAAGCAATTTTCCCGCCTCAGTCTTCCAAAGTGCTAAGATTACAGGCATGAGCCACCACACTCAGTCCAAAACTTTTTTTTAACACTAGTTTTTTTCAAAAATCATTTCCCTAAATAACCTATAGACCAAATTAAGTCACTATCACAAGGGTATCAAAGACATTATGGGAAAGGGACATAAAAGACTTGGCTTTCAAGTGCTGACACCAATTTGAAACTAAAGAGGCCGGGCGCAGTGGCTCACACCTGTCATCCCAGCACTTTGGGAGGCCGAGGTGGGTGGATCACGAGGTCAGGAGATCGAGGCCATTCTGACTAACACAGTGAAACCCCGTCTCTACTAAAAACACAAAAAAATTAGCCAGGCGTGGTGGCAGGCACCTGTAATCCCAGCTACTTAGGAGGCTGAGGCAGGAGAATGGCGTGAACCCAGGAGGTGGAGGGTGAAATCCCATCTCTACTAAAAATACGAAAAATTAGCCAGGCACCTGTAATCCCAGTTACTCCATTGGCTGAGGCAGAAAAATCACCTGAACTTGGGAGGCAGAGGTTGCAGTGAGCTGAGATCGCGCCACTGCACTCCAGACTGGGTGACAGAGTGAGACTGTCTCAAAACAAAACAAAATAAAATAAAAATGCTGAACAACTATAGCAAATAAGAAATACATTCACTGCAATTTGTCAAAACTTCGTACTTTTTTTCCTCTGCTTTTTAATCCTGTCTTTGAAAGCAGTTAGCTAACCAAACCAGTATTCATATATGGACACCATGGAAAACTATAAAGTGAATAATGGAATTTATATGTTATTTATATATCTGGGCCATGTTACAGATGTTTGTTAACGTAGCCCTCAAAGAGATGATAAACAAGTCTAAATGTTTTAACTTGAGATGCCGATTTAAGATGGCATTGAATAGAAGTTGTTGACAGATATTTGGGGAACAGAATGGGGGACAGATTGTATTCACTTCTGAGAGGACCATTTTATTGTATTTGCTACATTAGCTAAAGTAAAAAGGAGGCTTGGCGGCTGGGTGTGGTGGCTCACGCCTATAATCCCAGCACTTTGGGAGGCTGAGGCAGGCGGATCACCTGAGGTCAGGAGTTCGAGACCAGC